CTGCAGCAGCAATCCAAGACAACCCATGACATGATGGAGCTCCCAGACAAGAGTTTGTATCAGTGACTCTAATGGGACATGGTAATGTAAAGTGAATTGTACAGACAGGAAGAGGATGGAAAAGGGGGGAATTGTACCAGTACCCTCATCAGTGTAAACCTATAGCAGCATAATTGTGAACTTTTATGACCCAGGCCTTATTTAGCTCTAACTGGGAACTTTAGCAAAAAAGGAAAGTTTTGAGCTGACTCTTAAAGGTAAAGAGCCCCAATCAACATGTTCTGGATGATATGGGACCAGCTGATTAGATGTATTACTATAAAGGGAGACACAACTAAATAATTGGATCTATTATAAATTAGAGGAAATTGCAAATCCATTGACTGAATAATTCAATCCAATGTGGATTTGTCTAAATGAATAAAAGAAGACAACAAGAAGGAGCAAAAGAGCTCGAGGCACGAGTGATAATGAATTAAAATAGGGAACAGAAAGAAGCGGAGGATAAATGAAGAAACACTCTAGTTGAACCTTTACTCAGCTTTATTAGAAAACCCATCACAGCTGCAGTGCATCACGACTATTTCAGCGATTGGAGAGATACAGGCTTTGCACAGAACATAAACATTTTTTCCAGCTGGTCTCAGCTTGGTGCACACTTTAAAAAATGTGAAACAGAGGGGCGGGGAGCAAAACTGCATGTCAGGGAGTCTGCTGGTGGATCAGACATTTCACCGTGCTATGTTTGAGGCAGTCAAAAAAAAGTGCTAGATTCAGCTCAAAGGGCACACTTCAGAGCATTCCTGAGCTCGCTGTAGGCAGACAGAAATCATTCAGAAAATGTTGAAATTTAGAAACATACTGGTAAATCAAAGACACATCACTGTTTTCAATCTACAAACATTACTTTCAAGATGCTTTCTCTTTAAGCAATAGTGCAAATTCACACCATAACACCAAGGGCTCTATTTTCGTGTCTGCCGGGGACGTGGTGGACCCGGGCAGTGGTATTTTCGTCTGGTGGAGCCCGGCGTACAGCCAGTTTGGTATTTTCATAGACTGAGGCGCACTGAGGTCCGCCAAGCTGGGCGTGGTGGCGTGGCAGGGGAGGTGTCGACAGAATCATCTGGCACAGTGTCATTTTCGTGCTCGCCACCGGTGTGTAAAGTGCGCTGAAAGCTCGCCAATTCAAACCTGGTCAGCTTTCAGCACAGCTGGTCTAGTGGTATTTTGGTAGACCGGCGGTGTATTACGCATACGTCACCGATGCCTCACCAACAACAACTAATAATCTGAGTCAGCACATACATTTAGATCTATATAGATATATTCTGATCTATATCTGATGAGCGCGTTTGGCACACGTTTGGACACACAACCTGACCGAATTAACACAGCTGAAACCGCATCAAATTAAATTAAGTTAACAAGATATGTAATTCGTCTCCCTCCTTTTCTTTCTTCCTTTTTCTCTTATTTCTCGCGCAGCTCGACCTGGACATGTCTCTGTGTCCTCTCCCCGTCCTGCTGCAGCTGCTGCTGTGGCGGCTGAACAGATGATTTATTTTAGTGATCAGATGAGTTATTCACTGTAAGCCTACATACGAATATTATAATATTCAGTTTTGTGAGCCAAATTTATTTTATATGCCAACATCTATGAAAGAAAGAGCCAGGCCACGGAGCGTGATGCATCATTATGCACAGATGGTTCCGATTTAAATGCCATTTTTGGAGTTTATGTTTTGATCTGTGCACACAACCTACCTTTGTCACATGAGGTTTGAATATATGCAACTTTGAGTGTCTTTAATTGTGGAAAAGGGTGTTTGTTTACTAGTGGGTCCAACCTTACACACACCAAATCCATCTGTGCTCATATGAGAGAGTGTGAAGGACGCCCTCTGCAGTGCTTACAGAGGCACTTGTTGAGGAGCTGCCTTCTGTCGCCATCGTGTGGCATTGCTGTCTTCAGACATCTCTTGGTCTCTTTGACTACTTCACGAAAATTTTAATACGCCTCACCGGTGGCTGATTTAAAGGCGAGGAGAGGAGCTTATGTGATTGGTGAGAACAGGTCTCGGCTGTGTTAGACCCACTCCATGCCCTTTCTCCTCCCTCCCTACGACTTATGCCGCTGGGAGGAGCTGAGTTAGTGATGGGCTGCGCCGCTCACCAAAATACCAAATTGTGCTTGGGAACGCCTCGTCGGCGCGGCGGACCTGACTTACACCGCGCATGTGCCGCGTCACCAGCAAGGCACTGAAATAGAGCCCCAGGAGTATTTTTAGTCCTGCCCTTCTTCTTCTCTGTTGGGCACATTCACACCTCAACACTTGTCAGTGGTTTTGATGAGCTGTCTACACTTAAATGGCAGTCTGCCACAGGGTGAAATAACCCACATCCATAAAGCTAAAACTGAAAGGTAAGACCAGATGGTGAACACAGCCTATGTGTGATAAAAAAAACAATAATGGTCTGCTGTATTTCTGGTGGAAACTATGTCCTAATCACATAGCCTTCTTACCTATCTTTTTATGTCACAGTTTCTCTGTTTCCTCTATTGTTGCTATAAGTTTCTCATACAATCCAGTTCACCACTACCAACACCCACGTTAATGGCTTGGAGCCCAATACTTTGCAGCATTAGACTTCAGGCATTTGTACAAATCTTAAATGCATTTTTCTTTTTTTTTGTCAGTAGCAAGTTTGAGCCTGATACAAAACACCTGAGGATGTTTGCCTCTGCCTGTTAAAATTTTTGTCAACTAGTGAACCCGTTATCTTCCAGAGGGAGTTTAACTTCAAAACATTCTGCAGTCAAAAAGAAAACAAAAAACGTTTGTGATTGAGATAGAGATGGAGAGTTGCTTCCAGAGCTTCCCAGAGCAATTAAAGATAAGGGGGGTATGAAACAATACTGCAAACATTTTAACTCAAAATTTAGTTTCTTGGGAAAACAAGGCCTTATAAGCTTTTTGTATTGGCACTAAAATAAACTTTTGGTGGAGTCTGAGAAAGAAGCAGACATTGCCAGGTCATGGTTTTCTTGAAGACTCCAAAATCAGGCAACTGCACTGTGTAGAGTTGAGAAGACATTTCGCCTCTTATCCAAGAAGCTTCTTCAGTTCTAATTATTGCTAGTGTGAGGAGCAGATGTTTATCTTACTGGAGAAGGGGACAAACTTTTAAACTTTTAATTTAATATGTGTATTACATTGTGAGTTTTCTCGCTTATAGACTAGTCGACTAGTCACAAATAAAATTTGAGACTAGTCGGCGGGGGAATTAGTCGAAATTCCCATCCCTACTATTAACACAATGACTAAGACATGAATATCAAATACATAACATGTATGATTTGGACATTGGCAACAAGGATGTAATATCTCGCCATAAAATCCACTAAATTTGTCCGGCAGCTTTAAGCTTTAATCTCTAGTTCTCTATTCAGGGGCTTTTATGTCCACATGATCAGTGTATTTTCACAGACTGTTCGGATCTGATCGCCTAAAAGTGAAACTAATTTAAAATGATTAATGCATAAATTATAGTAAAATAATTCTGTTGACTTTGCTAGGTGAAGGCTGACATCTTATTTTGTTCTGTTGGCCAATCAGAGATTTTTTATGCAATTAGTTGATCTGTAAAGGTCAAATGAGAAGCCAGACAGCCAGCCTGTTCACACAGAAATACAAGGGGCAGACCTGTTTTTGATGGATTCACTGAATACAGGTTATTCTAGTATTAGTATATCTATATCCATTACATGAGGTCTTCATTTATACTTGCCCCTATTTTAAAATCTATTACAACTGGAACTGTTTTAATTAATATGTCTATTTGATTATTATTTTTAAGCAAAATTGAGTCCTGCACTGAGTCACGATTTGGTCTCAAAGTTTGTCACAAAAAGCATCATCTTTCATTTGGATCGATGTGGTAATTTTCTTTTTCAACCTTTCAGATTATTAATACTTTCTAAAAAAAATTATATTCTGCATATGATTTACTGATTCAGATTTTCTACTTTCTGATATACAGCACGGTATCTACATTAAGAAATGAGTTTTATACGGCATTTCTAGAAGGAGGCAAAAGTTAGAAGCTGAAGTGACTGAACTGGCAATTAATTTTCAAATTCTGCCATTAAACATGATTAAAAAAGTAAATCCAGCACTATGAGAAACCCATCCACAGAAATATGTCATTGGGAGACTTTGTTGAGGGGAGCTGGTTGGGTTTAGCACTTCAATCACGCGTTCTATGAACAGAGGCATTAGAAAAAGCAGGGGATTCCAACCTGAGGCCCATTTAAATCCTATATAAACCAATTTTTCTTCTTTATCCACTATGACTTTTTAAAAAGGCATGAAAGGGGCCAAAAAATAATTTAGAAAAGCTTTCTTGAACCAAATGTTTTATTTATTAATTAAAAGAAAATGCGCAAGGATTTTGATTATTAATAAATGTAGCCTGGAATCACATCTTCACTTTGTTCAGGCCTAGGAAAACAACTGTTCAGCATTTCCATAAATCCCCCAAATTCTCTGACACTTTAAGCGGGAACATATGTTCAAATCTAATACAATTAGCACTGAACGAGCTTTCCAAATAAATCCCATTGGAAAGTCGCCCAAATGAGCTTCCAGCTTTGGTGACTGTCTTTCATATCACATTAATAGTGGTGCAGCTCGCTGAAATGATGGCATAACTGCTGATTAGAATGGTGTCTTTCCACATGAGCACGACAGGAAGCACACGCTGGCAGTTTTCTAATCGCCCTGTGCACCGTCGCGTGGGATTACGGGGATGAACTATTTGCTCCGGATGAAAATTGAGGTAAATCAATTTTCCATTTTCTTTTAGGACTTCACTTCTATCTGGTGTCAAGCTAATGACAGCACAAGCCAGTGGGACAAGAGTCATTCATCAAAGGCGTTTAAAGGCAAACGCAGGGCCGACTCCTCTCTCTGCGCTCATTAGTTCAAACGAAATTACTTCTGAGGAGAGCTGCTTGCAGCTATCATACTCTGCTTGTATTAAGGGGTGGGGATGGGGCGGAGGGTCCAATGAATGGATTGCATAAAGACAGTAGCCTCCTGGTTTATTGTAATTATATTTTTCTATAATAGGCTCAAAGCAAACAAAGAATAACACTCAGTCTGGATACATAAGGGATAAGGTCAGACTGAGATAGAAGCATTCTAAAGCTATTAAAAGTCAATAAAAGGTCCAGGTTTAACCACGCTTGGAAGGAAAGAGCAGAAATCACTTTCTTTAGACGTGTTCACACCAAAAGGTCCGTTTTCTGACACGAACCAACGCAAGGATGATACATTGATGATTAATTGTTGCAATTTCTCAACTGGTTCTGTTCGCGTTCACAAAGGCCAAACTCAAACGGTCCAAAAATTGTCACATGACAGCAAAAGCCTTTCAGTGATTGTTTACACAGTTTAGGCGGGTAAATGACAAATAGAGCAGAGCATGGTCTGCTCATTTTTATGTTGGTGCTGATCTGGACTGCATATCGGCAGACTTTAACGGATTGCACATATGAAAGGCTGGGAAGACTGCAGCAATTGAATAATGTATTAATACACATATGTCACAGGAGACTCTCTGCAATCAGACAATCATATCGCAGAGGACGACAGGCAATAATTCGTAACTCCACGTTTGTCCCCTGCTAGACATTAGCCGCACTTCGCTGACTTTGCGTCTGACCAAAACAGGATATGACGTGTAAAATGGTGCGCTTCCTGTGATTGGTACGGATGGGGTTCACACCAGAAGTAAACCGCTCTAGAGTTCACTTGATAGTGGTCCAAGACCACCCCTACCAGGCGGACCCAAGAGCAGTTGACTGGTCTGCACCAGAGTTCGAGGCCAGCGTTCACACCAACCAAAACGAACCGCACCAAGGAGGAAAACACTCCAGGGTTCAGTTCAAGTGGACTAAACAAGGCTGATCTGAACATGATGTTAGACGTTACAGTGTAAAAGAGTATACTCTGAAAAATCGAAAGGAAACCCTGAATAAAGACAAGGAAAACAGAGTGTAAGGGAGATAATTCAGCTGCATATCATATTTAGCACAGTATTTCATCAGGGATATCATTATCATTACTATTTTTTCCACATATGCTCAGTGTCTTTGACGGTCAGGATACAGTGTTAATGACATAATACAATTTTCCACTTTAAAGTCATGCAGAATTTTTATCAGCTTTTTCCTGAGCGGCAGGTGATGATGATCTCTGCTGAAAACTGAAATAACCATCTGTTTTTTTCCCTCTCTGGTTTGTAATATCACTGAGAAAAATTATGAAATCAACTTTTCATCGTTGGCCTTGAAATTGGCAGACATCCTCCCTGCCCTGCGGTATTTTTGTCTCTTTGTCTTGGAGTGTTTTTCTCTGAGATGTGTGCACTCTCAAGTTGCCCCTCTTAGAAACCCAACAGCCTGTCCTGAGTGATCCTGTTGAATTCAGCTGAGGACAAGGAATAACAAGACATCCTTTCATATTAGCAGAAAAGACCCTTACATTCATGCAGTTGGAAGTTAGAGTGCATTTGATTCCTAAAAGTGTGGCACATTAAAAATAAAACACTGTGCAAAAGCAAAGTAGATCATCAGTGGCAGTATAATGTCTTAGTGTCTTAATGTGTGAACGTCCAGAGCTTTAGATAATCAATAATGCATGTAACTGCTACTGCCATGAAGGCGGCATGTTAAGGTGAATTCCAGCTTGCTACAGAGTTGGCCATCTTTTATAGTGAAGATACACAGTGACTTACATAGTTGGCTGTAAAAAGGCAGCAACCATGCAGCTTTTTTGTTTTGCATAATCATGCATAGCTAATTAGGAGCATAGCTAACTTGGCTTACAAGTTGGCACATTGCCACCTATTTGCCTCCTCTTAGTTTGACTGGAGCTTAAGCAGGGCACACATGACAAGATAATTGTGCCAATTTTGTGCCCCTCTGACAAAAATCAGCAATGGCCGGTTCTTAAAATGTTCTTCCAAGATTATCCTGAGGTGTGATTTGGGTTCAGAGTGTTTTTCTCCCCACTGATATGCGCAGCAGTTGATTCGAGCCGCCCTTCTTGAAACTATTGATATTTATCATGTTGATTATGGCCCTGGCCTTTTTCCAGTGAATTCCTCTTGCTCCCCAGGGTTTTCCCCTTCCTCCTGTGTCTGTTTGTTCTCCCCAGCCCGCCTGTGTCTGTGCGATAGCAGGCGTGGCCCATCATCCCCTGTACTGCCCACCTACTCCTGGTTCAAGCTCCACCTCCAGCTCCACATAGTTCCTTAGCTGCCTCTCATCTACAATCAAGCGCAGTCTACAGGAACCCCTGGCTGCCAGATTATCTGCTGACCAATGCGGTATTTAGCTGGCTAAGAATCCTTTTAGGGGTTTTTATCAATTTGGAAAGATTTTTTGAGACATTTGGATAATCATTTTTCAAATCAATCAATCAATCAAATTTTATTTATATAGCGCCAATTCACAACAGTCGTCATCCCAAGACGCTTTTCAAAGAACAAGAGCAGGTCTAGACCACGCTCATTGTTTGATGAATTATCAAGAACCAACCTAAGATGGGTTTTGGCCCATCTCAACTAACATGAGTGACAGTGGCAAGGAAAAACTTCCTTTTAACAGGCAGAAACCTTGAGCAGGACCCGACTCATGCCAGACAGCCACCGTGCCGCTGCTGGGTTGGGGAGGAATGTAGCGAGAGAGAGAGAGAGAGAGAGAGAGAGAGAGAACAAGGTAAGGGGAAGGAAAGAGAGAATGAGTAAGGGGGAGGGAGAGAGAGTAGAGAACGAGGGTGAGAGAGAGACAGGGGACAACAGCAACAACAACAACAGCTCATGTAATGGTGAAACGAAATTAATTCAGTTTACAGGGTTAGGATATGAGTAATTATGGACTATGTTAAATTAATTTAATGTGATTACAGTCAGCAGGCTTAATCGTAGTTAACTCTAGTTTTATGTTATTAATGTCAGTGAGGCTGATGTTCAGTAACAGTCCAGAGGAACCCAAGAGAAGAAGGAGCTCAGGGCCTGAGGCAGACAATCTTAGACAATGTGGCTGGAGTCAGGCAGATCTGCAGCAGCCATCGGTCCAGAGCAACCTAGGAGACTGGGGCTCAGAGACATACAGAGAGATCTGGTTAGCAATTTGATGGGAGAAAATGACTTCAATGTACAGGATAATGAAGTAACTAATTATGGACTATGCTAAATTAATTTAAGGTGATTAAAGTTAAAACTCAAGTTTTATTTTAAATATGTCAGTTAGGCTTACGTACGTGTCTGCAGCAGCGGAGATGGAGATGGAGGAGCTCAGGGCCTGAGGTGGACAATCAAGGACGATGCAGCTGGGGTCAGGCAGTTCCGCAGCAGACCGTCTGCAGCATTAGTCCAGTGGAAGCTAAGAGACTCAGAGACACTCAGAGAGACAGAAATCTGGTTAGTGACTTATATGGGACATAAAGATCTAAAGAGGAGATAGAGACAGACTCTAGCTCAGTGTGCCAGATAGCCCCGGCAGTCTAGACCTATAGCAGCATAACTAAGAGCTGGTTCAAATCAGCCCCGACTATAAGCTTTATCAAAGAGGAACATTTAAAGTCTACTCTTGAAAGTTGAGAGGGTGTCTGCCCCCCGAACCTCGAGCGGTAAATGATTCCAGAGGAGAGGTGCCTGGTAGCTGAAAGCTCTTCCTCCAATACTACTTTTAGAGATATTTGGTACAACGAGCAGACCCGCAGACTGTGAGCGTAACGGTCTAGACGGAAAGTACGGTATAACATGCTCGTCGAGATATGATGGAGCCTGGCCATTAAAGGCTTTATATCTCACAAGGAGGATTTTAAACTCAATTCTAGATTTAATAGGGAGCCAATGAAGAGAGGCTAAGGCAGGAGAGATGTGCTCCCTTCTTCTGGTTCTGGTCAATACCCGAGCTGCTGCATTTTGGACCAGCTGAAGAGTCCTTAAAGACTTATTGGAGCAGCCTGATAAGAGAGAATTACAGTAGTCCAGCCTAGAGGTAACAAAGGCATGGACTAGTTTTTCTGCATTACTCTGAGACAGGATGGGTCTAAAAAAAAGCTATTCTAGAGATTTGTTGAATGTGGGAGCTGAAGGACAAATCCTGATCAAATAAAACTCCCAAATTTCGCACAGTGGGGCTGGATGCCAGACTGAGGAGGACAAGAACCCGAACAAGAACCGAGGACAAGAACTTCAGTTTTGTCTGAGTTAAGCATCAGAAAGTTATTGGTCATCCTGGATTTTATATCTTTTAGACAAGCTTCTAATTTGGTAACCTGATTTGTTTCTTCTGACTTCATGGATAAGTATAACTGGGTGTCATCTGCATAACAGTGGAAATTAATCGAGTTCTTCAGTGTGCATCTGGGTTTAAAAATTAAATCAGCATGGCGTCCACCATCATTTGGTTCTATAATGTCCATTCAAAACCAGGTGACATGGAGATTATGTTCATGTTTTTCACAGTCTATGACCAAACCCATTTCAAAAGTGTATTTAAGAGCTAAACAGCTACTGATCCAAATATTTACACAACAGATTAATCTGCCGATTATTTTGATCATCAAATGCTGACATGATGTCAACAAAATGAGAATATGTCATGTAAAAAGAGTTCAACGGTGTCTCAGTAATCAGAATATTTTTTTGACAAATGGCTCCATCGATTGATTGTCTAAAGAAATGTCATATTTTCTAATGACTAGCTGAAGCCATTTTGCTGTGATCTCATTACATTATTTGCTTGCTGGGTGTGTGAACAGCATCTTTGCAGCCATTGTGTGTGTGTACCTTAAGCTACCCCATAGCTGCCTTTAAGTTCACTCTTCACCTGCTTTGCTATTTGCTCAATGCAGAAGCAACTATTTGTTGCTGGTAGTTTCTACATTGAGCCACGAGCTAGGACTCAAATCTTGCAACGATATCTTATGTCTTTGATTTTATACCAAACACTCAGCTTTGACTGAGCTTTAAATGGCTTTAAATGGCGGGTGTACAGTCTTAGGTCTCATACAGTAGTGAGAAAGTGTGGGCATATGAGTTTGTACAGCCTTATTTTACACACAGAGATGCTCACTACTATCTCCTTACCTCAGCCTCCCATGAGCCAAAAACAGCCTGAGACATCACTAAACTTTCCATCATCTCATGCAGAAAAAAACACATTTATTTTCTAAATCCCTCAACACAACTCTCAGTGCCTCTGATGATGGTGTTGCCATTTATTAATAAATATTAAAGCACACAGCACCAAATGCAGCCAAGTGGTCCAGCTGCAGGGCAAGCAAATAACAGTCTACTTTTTTAATATGCAAAATGCAACGGATGTTACCCAATAAGTGGATTGTGTCTGATACTGTTATATCCAGAGTTTTAAATAATTGGTGAAGTTATGCTGCAGTGGTTTGTGCATAAATGTTAATCAGTTCTGCTGTATAAAGTAACTGTTCTAGTGCATAACACTCCAGTGATAGAACAGCATAGGAGAATAAATTTTATGTGCTTGTGTAAGCCTGGTGTAGAAAGGTTGAAGTTTGCTGTGTGGCAATGAGAGCAGAGACACTGATTGGTTTGGTTTATCTGCTGCCTAAGGGGGCTTTCACACCTACATCGTTTGGTCTGGACTTTTGGACTTGTCTATTAAGTCCGGACCCAAATGATAGGTGTGAAACCTCCCCAGGACCTTGGTCTGGACCAAACCACCGGAACGTGGTCCAACTAAAAGAGGTGGTCTCAGTTCGGACAAAACTGAACCACATTCTGGCTCGTGCCTAGTGTGAAAGCATTTTTTGAAAGGTTCGGACCTTCGTATAAAGACAGGAGTACAAGTATCCGTTATTATGTTGAATGGAGATTGTCCAATAACAGGAAATTTTATAATATTGTATATAAAGTTATACCTTACTTTTGACAGCTTGTCTTGTCAAGAGGTTTATTACACATAGTTTTCTCCTGAGCCAGTGTTGCAATGACTCGCAGGATTACACACCTTTTTAGCAAGTTATTTTAGCACTTGCCTTGTCTGAACAAAAGTAAGGACAAGGCAAGCGCTAAAATTACCTTTGTAAATGTAGCCATCTTGTTTCCTCCTCTGATTTTGCAGGCCGCTTAACCAGCAACACATGGGTCTGCATGCCCACTGTGCATCATACACTTTAAACTGTGCTTTTTAGCTTGGTAAAAATAATACTGTTTGAGTACATGTTAAATCACTTTAAATGTTTTTTCTTGTACTTCTATACAAGGCTTGCATTAGTTTGGAAATAGCTGGAGCCACATGGACAAGCTTGTTTAAAGGAATAAACAAAAAGCTTTGGTTTGTTCTGGGTGGGGAGTGTATGTGTGGAAAAAATCCCATATCATTTCTTTGATGCCGGTCGGGAGGGAAAAACATGCACTCACTTTCAGAATCAAAGAAGCACCTGAATGAAAAATGGAGCAAGACAACGTAAACAGATCTCGTACTCAGACGTAGATTTGGAGAGATTCATAACAAATTGTCAAAGCCATTCATCATTGTTCATGCAGAAAGATTCCTCTGATAATCATTTTAGCTATGAATTGTCAGAAGATAGACATCACTGTTATTAATTCCTGTGATTTAATAATATTAAACTAGCTGTTTTTTATTTTAAAAGTTAATTTTTCTGACAATTAAAATCATCTTAACACTTTTATTGATGGGAAAGTGGTTTGGCTTCACAGGAGATTGAACGAAAGCTGAATAAAGATGAGAGTCCACTCCACATCTAAAATCAGGTTAATATAAAAGCTAACTTTTGGCAGGAGACACCAGCAAAGCTATCTGAGAAATTAATTACTCTTAAATTTATGTTAGATCTCCGTGTGATGGAGTGTGAGGCCAGAGAGAGAGGAGGAGGAGGAGGGGAGGTGTGCCGTAATATTTAAGAGAGAAAAACTGTCACAGACATGTTGAAAATATGCAACATTTCAGCATAATAGCATCAACCTTTGGGGCAAAACTTGGTCATATTTGCCTGTCATGGAACAGCTCGGCTCTGCCATGTTTAATTTAGGTTCAGGCTTCTCTGTGCAGGGCTTGATAAGTGAGACTATTAAATAAAACTCTGCTGAACAATGAAAGAAGTTGTCATTTAACCAAATGAGTAGATGGGAGTAGGCACAGAGAGTCAGGAGGTAAATTATGTATTCATGAAGGTTCTGTAGCTACTTTATTAGCTTTAGGCGAGACCTCAGCACCGAGCCTGTAAACCAAGTTTGACAAGCCCCCATGTGGAGCAGCAGGCACAGGGAATAAGCCTCTCACTGCTCATCCCCCCATTTTACTGCCGGGAACCGTCTGGATCACAACAACAGTGAGTGCAACATGAAGGAGCTGATATGGAGATCAGCTCACAGGGAGGTTAAGCATTGGGCAACCGCGTTGACTCCTCCACATATGCGGCTTGGTGTGAGACGTGACTTTAAAGGGAAAAATCCTAATGGGAGTCAAACAGCAGCTCATGTTTTCTGATGCCATGTTAAGTTTCAGAGTATTTTCCCGTATTTTGCAGCATAAACATGCCTTTGAGGAGGCTGTGATGCAGAGAGGTGTCAGGAGATGAAACACAAACTGACAGTGACTGTAAATTTATTTACACTCCATTGAGCTTCAATTAATATCAGTAATTGAGACACCTTTGAATCAATAAATGTATCCCTAACTCTGTAAATTGACTCTGATGCACTGAAGACGTGACATGGAAGATAAGTGGCTGTCTTTGGAGCGTCAGCAGATCCCGGTTACACAGAAAATGTGCGCTTAAGTGCTCAACAGATAAACAGCATAAGAGAGCACTTGTCGTATTAAAGATGGCTGGTCATAATCTCTGACATACTTAAAAGCTCAAAACCTATTTGCTAAATTAAACCTGCTTCTACTGTGGTCTGGTCCAAGGGGCCCGCTCGGTACAGAAACTCCGAAAGTTTGATCAAAAAAAAGATGACTTCAGGCAAACACATTAAAAGAAAACCTTGGCAAGCTCTTGCTTTTTGTGCACAATCCATGAAATGTGAAAAGCGAGTGAGTTTTAATTATGTCCGTAAAAGTCAAAATCAAGGTCTCCCTTTAACTAAAGCTCTGGAGTTTAGAATTAAAATGTCAGAATGAGTTCAAGTATGTTAAAGCACAATTACAGAGGTTCAAACATGGTCAAATTTATTTATTCTTTCTTAACTTTACCTTGACCTTCCAAACTACAGTAAACTAAACCTCTTTTATAATTTGCAACTTTCACGTTTATTCTTTGAAGCTCCTGTGAGGACTTTTCGGTTTGTGTCAATTTCATAGACTGTATATACTACGGACACCTTGGCTCCGCCTTCTGTCATTATATGAACTTGTAGTTGAATTGTTCTTGGTATTTCTGGGATTTTCTCCACTTCCTGCAACCACCACTTGCGCAGTAGCGTTGTACGCATTTGGCGGGAGAATTGCAGAGAGTTGCTATGATGACACTCGGCTCAAACAGTGTATCCCTCGGGGGAGCTATGCAATCTTTGTACGCCCATAGGCTGTATCAAATGGCAATCATAGAAAACATGAACCCTGATTAACTTTTAAAAATGGGGCTGCACAGAAAAAAGAGGACTTTAGGGGCCCATGAGAGGGTGTGCCTCACCTGTCATCGTGGAAAGAAAAAAATGTAAAATGAAAAACTTAATTGATTATATTTATCTAGTGATTTGCACTGTAAATCATCACCAAGTTTTTGCATTTGCTGTTCAAATACTGAGAATTGACGTGCGGTGAGGCAGCAGCCAGATGAGCCTCACCATGGATTGCCCAATGACCTGGCTGACTGTACTGGCACACTTTGCAGTGAGAACATATAGCTATTTCTCTGTATGTCGTTACTAACATGTTCAGACATTTTGTAATATCAACTGATCCACACAGTTTAGCTGATGTATACAACGTACATTTTTTTTTTTTTGTCAACAATCATATGTGTTTAACATGTTTCTTGTGCTGAGCAATCATAGCACAGCTAGCAAAGGCGCTACGTGAGGTACACAGTTCTCCTGCCTCATGGAAGGGGGCACTCATGATCCCAGTAATTCTTCTTGCAACTCCTCGACTGCAGAGTAAGTGACACGGTAAACTACAATCTACAGTTAGCGAGTCAAGTGCAGCCAACTGTGTATTTTCTCCTCTCTGCTGGCCTTACTTTCAAAATAGAGGATTACGTATGTAAACTCGAACAGTTTTCTCGACCGGACTTCCAATCGGAGCAGAAGGTAATAATTAAAAGAAGACCATAAATTATTATCATTTATAAGTAAAGGTTAGACCATAATAACATTTTCTTTTAAATATTAAATGTACTTTTGTGTGTGCTAGTTTGTATGTGTAAAGACAGCTGATATGAGATTTTAATTATAACCCGTTAACTGCTGCCAATCGAATGGTTAAAAAGCTCCTCTGTAGGGTTCGTATGTTTGAAAATCTGATTGTGATGAAGTCAGCCTCACCAGCGATAAAACTCAACACCACCAGCTGGGAGCGCGGCACATGACCACCGTTACATGATTTTGTTGCCATTGAAAAAAATGAATATTCCAAAACAAAATTATTTTAGGCTATTGCAAATACCAAAAAACAATTAAAAGACAAACGTGAAATTAACTTATTTGTCTGAGAAATTCAAAACACCAGAGACTGCTTTGGTCACATGATTTGGAAAGCTGTTAAAATATACTGTACATATAAATGTGTTTGTTTTTTTGCATATATTCTTTAAAATATGCAACTTTAATAAAACAATTTGAAAGATAAACTAATATATTTACTCAATTGAAGTGTTTTTTTTTTATTTATTTTTTTTATTACACATGTACAAGTGATACTGGTTTGAGGACTGGAGAATTACATGACTTGACTTCACTGCGTTACGATGCTCCCCTGTGTCAAGTTTGAATATCAATTCCAGTTAAAGTAAGACCTCTGTAGTTCTACAACATACAGAACACTTACAGAAGTAAACCCAAAGCTGCTGTAGGCACATGTTTTAACGAAATGAAATTGTTTCTTGAATGATTTGGAGTACAATTTTTGGTCACATGTTACCTACAGTCATTTGCCATGCTAGATGCAAACAGTATTTTGGTGTCATATTGTCACATTGAGACTACAACTACACATATATTTAATAAAAAAAAAAACACAGAACTTGCCAAATACAGTGTGTTTAGGACAACAAAATGTAATTACTAATTTGATGCTATTTCTGGTATATTGATAGTAAAATCTGTATTTTCTCAGGACAAAACAAACAATTTTTTATAGTTGCTACCTCAACATTTTAAGGTTGTTTTGAATCCAATCAAACCTACTGATCAGTCCCATATTTCACAGCAGCCACAGCTTAACTATTTTTAAGTGAGAATTTCTTTAAAAACAAAAACTTTATTTGACAAGACCAACAAAACCCCAGAGACCAGATACCAGGTCCCAGGACAGGGCTTCCTTAGGGAGGAAAAGTGAGAAATTTTGACTTTTTTATCCAGCCCCATAGTGAGAGCAAAAGTAGAAATGATGTGAACAATTGAGCAGATAAAAGCAAATTGCCAGCTATTGCCAAACTGTTTAATTATTATAATAATTAAATTATGAAAATAATTTCAATAAAATCCCCTTGAAATGGTGGATGATCAATCAAGCATGGTAAAGAAGATGTCATTAAAACAAGCTGATATGATAGGCTACATATTTTTAACTAGGACATAAAGGTCAAAGGCAAACTGATGAGTGCACGCCAACGAACATTTCTTTATTGATTACTTAAAAAAATTGACATATTATTGATCTTGAAAATATAAGAACATAACTAAATCATTAGAGAGTTACTGTTAGCGGTTTCAAAGGCACACACTAAGAGTCAGAAGAAGTTTTAAAAAGTTTGGTTTTGGTTTTGCCTGCAGATGGAGCAGCGCTTCACTTGGGCTTCGGCTCTCATCCCAGTTCCCGGTTGGCCCTGCAGCCAGCGGATCGTCCTCCAAAGGGTCCCAGTTCCAGCCTCCGGCAGCAGCTCTGCACCTGCCAGTCCCCCTGGCAGTACACTAAGGCCACTCACACCATTGGTTTCCCAGTACACTGATGAGGCCTCGAAGGAGAAACGCTGCAAGACACTTGTGGCTCTCAGTGAGGTTGTGAAAGCCCATCCTCCTGAGAGGACACCCACTGAGGCTCCTGAAGCAGGCCCATCAAAAGCAACCTGTATTTTGTTTAAACTGTCTCCAGCTCTTACAGGGTTCTCCCCAAAGGAAACTGAGGAAACCAGCCCAGACGTGCAGGTGCCGCCCCCCAGACCAGCTGTGACCCTGAGTGCTGCTCCAAAGAGGTGCCCATGGTGAGCAGCTCTGGTCCCCGGTGCTGCCCCCAGGACAGGTCCCTCTCAAAAGCAGCTCTGGCCTCCACTGCTGCTCCAGGACCAGGTTCTCCCCAGGCAGCTCTGGCCGTCACTGCTGCTCGAGAGAGAAAAGGAAGACCAAGTAAAGGAGAGAAGAGGAAGTGGGAGGGGCAAAGGTTTTAAATTGTCTCAAGAAAAGGTAGATAACAATACTTTTTAACCATTGTGGCACTTTTTTAAATGTCTTTTGTTTTCTGTCTTTTTGCATAATTTCACTGAAACTTTCCTTTTGTCTGATTTTGTTGCACAAAGAGAGAGAAGGAAATCTAGAGAAAAGGAAAGAAGTAGAGAGGAAAGGTGTTTACCCCTCATGCTAAAAGGTAAACTATTATTTCTTAACCCTAAAGAAAAACTTCAATTAACACCCCTAAGGGACCGAAACGGTCCCCTCCATTTTGCTGGAGTAGAAATATGGTCTAAATAGATATATTAAAAAATTTTTTTTTTGGCTGCCATCATTGACTTATAACCTAATCATAAATAGCAAAACTTTATTCAGGTTTTGTATTTTAACCCCATAAATGCCAGTCTTTTTTGTAAAAACCTGATATTATTTTAAGTCAAAAAACACAATTAGTGATTTATTTTTCATCCTATAAATGCAAATTGTTTTTTTAAACTTTTGATTATTAGAGCATGGGATTGGTAAACATTGATGAGAAAATTGATTTGAAAGGATTTGTATTTTTTCTGTAGTGTTGAATAATAATAAAAACTTCAATAAACACCCCTAAGGACCGAAACGGTCTCCTCCATTTTGCTGCGGTAGAAATATGGTCTAAATAAATGTATTAAAATTTTTTTTTTTTTGGCTGCCATCATTGACTTATAACCTAATCATAAATAGCAAAACTTTATTCAGGTTTTGTATTTTAACCCCATAAATGCCAGTCTTTTTTGTAAAAACCTGATATTATTTTAAGTCCAAAAACACACTTGAATTATTTTCCAATTCATTAGTTTTTTTAAAGTTTTGATTATAAGAGCATGGGATTGGTAAACATTGATGAGAAAATTGATTTGAAAGGATTTGTATTTTTTCTGTAGTGTTGAATAATAATAAAAACTTCAATAAACACCCCTAAGGACCGAAACGGTCCCCTCCATTTTGCTACAGTAGAAATATGGTCTAAATAAATGTATTTAAATTTTTTTTTTTTTTGGCTGCCATCATTGACTTATAACCTAATCATAAATAGCAAAACTTTATTCAGGTTTTGTATTTTAACCCCATAAATGTCAGTCTTTTTTGTCCACACACACACATACACACACACACACACACACACACACACACACACACACACACAAAAACAATCAGACACACACACACACACCATCCATCCATCCATCCCTTGCTTTTACGTAAGCACATCGATGAAGCCCTCCCTCTTCAGGTGCCAGCTATGAACCTCGCACACACAATCTCACACACACACACACACACACACACACACACACACACACACTCCATCCCTTCCTTGCTTGCTTTTACGCACTCACATTGATCAGGTGCCCGCTATGAACCTCATGAGCTTGCTCACACACGTGCGCACACACACACAATCAGACACACAATCACACACACACAATCAGACACACACACAGAAGGAAACTGCAGGTGCAGATTGTACAACTGCCGCTGTTTCTGGAAGGATTTTGGCTGTTCTCATGGCTGCATATGCACACACACACACACACACACACACACACACACACACACACACACACACACACACACACACACACACACACACACACACACACACACACACACACACACATATACTGGTTTCCATTGTTCATGGGGACCAAGTTTGCAATCATCATTTGTGGGGACTACCCTTTCTAGATGTCCTACAAGTGTGAAAAAAATCAGGTAAAGCAGCCATTGGTTACTAAACCTAAACACACCTTTAAACCTTTGAAAAGTTGAAACTGATAATTCGTACTGGTGTCCCCATGCTATTTGGGGACTTCCGGGAAAAACAAGTTAACCTGTTAACAGGGGACTGCATTTGCATACATTTGCATATTTCACACAGATTTATATGTTACTAGTGGGGACACATATATATACATTGAAATGGGCAAATGTAGTAAATTCTCCTGCATATTGCACTCAGGATGAGATGAAGGCTTATTACAAAGTTAAACCACAATACACAATGTCAAGTTTCACATTTTACATCTACTATAGCAGCACCCAGAATCATGCAGAATCCCTGATACCATAGATTGTGGTTTAAAAGCTGTGCGAAGGCGGAAATGCAGGCTCTTGATAAAGACAAAAAGTTGATAAAGACTGCAGGGAAGACTAGGACACAACTTCCAGACATTTCCACCATCCACCACCTTTTCAACGACCAGTATTGACCAGGAATTCCATGCATGCAGTTTTAATGTCCCAGTGATCACTGGAAGTTTTTGGCTCTACCCTCATAAATTTAGATTGTGTATGGTCTCGTTAGCCGGAAATAACTGCCAAGTTGCATGATTTGCCTAAAGGACTTTGCTACAACTCAGTCAACATGCAACACCACCCCACCCAGAAATCAAACTGGTTTGACCAACACAACATATTCTTTAATAACATTGTATAAATTACAATTCTGCAATGACAATAACATTATGTGTATAAAAAATAAACACACACACAAGTTCAGCAACTGTGTGATGATAAAAAGTCTCGAGTTTTTAAAGAAATATCTGCCACACTTAACAATTGGCTTCATGAAATTTGATTTTAAAAGGAGAAATCTGGTGTGAAATGGACTTGCATTTCAATACCCCAAACCAGATAATACAAAACAACTTCCACAAAGCTGGAACTGGGTGGAAGTTATTATTCAGACAGAAAAAAAATGACTACGAAAAAAAAACAAAGCTTACCCACAACCACTTTCTTTGTATGGGCCATACTATTTAGGGTGCATTTTCCTTTTCAAGGCTGTAATCATGTTGTAGACATAAAATTTCAAGTTCTGCCAGTTTCTGTGACTGAGAGCTTCAGGTTCAGCTCTCAAACATTTCTCACAATCTCTCTTCGATGGTACAGTACAACATTGGATGAACTGATTCATATGCCTCTCTACTGCTCTAACCTCTGCCGTCTGCCAAGGTGTTCTTTTCTGTTTAGCTTTACCTGCAAGGAGACAAAAATAAAGGTTTTATTAACAGTATAAAGGAGAAGCTACAGTTCCAAGTCCTGTGTCGGTACATACAGTACAAGTGAAATTATGAGGATGATCAGGGCTAATATAAGCGTCTGTCCTCGGATTTGATCAATACAGCTCTTAGTCATCAGTTTGCAGCTAACTTAAACTTACATCTAGGGTTGCAAAGGAGCGTAAAATTTCCTGTAAATTTCTGGTAAACTTCCAGAAACTTTCCATGGGAAGTTAAGCCGGGGACAAAGCATCTCTGGTTTATACTCAACACTAATACTAATATGAAAAGTGCATTGTGGGGACATCGTAAATTTACCAGACCAACATGATATTTGGCCCCAGGGAAAAAATCCACAAAGGTTCACATCCAACTTTAAAGTCCTGTCATCTTTTGCCACATTGAGGCATTGGATTTAGCTGTTAGTAGACCTGATTGACAACAAAATACCCTCACAAGGAGCTCATTTGCTGTATTAAGTTGCTAAAACAAAACTTACACAGGCTGTAAAAGTGAATGTCAGGTGATGAAGGTGAAAGTACCTGTTGAGGAGTGTCCTGTGAGCATGAAGCTTCTTTCATCTGTTTCCCAGACATAACAGCAGGATCAGAGCTCTTGACATGATCAGTTTTAATGGCACACAATGTCATCTGCAATGATTAGTAAGGAAAAGGCAATGTTAGGATGAGAATCCATGGCACACAACTTCATCTGCAATGATTTGTGAGGAAAAGACAATGTAGATATGAAGAGCTTTAGGTCAATGTAATGTCAACACTAAATTATATCCAAGTAGGTAAATAGTAATTAGTAGACCTGATTGACAACACATTACCCTCACAATGAGTAATATCCTGTCCAAAATTTCCAAAAAATGTGAAAACACTTAAGAAGACACCTTTATACACAATGATATTCTGATACATTCTACTGTGCTATCATCAGACATACTTGCATTCGCCATGGGCAGTCGTTGCCTCCATAGTCATATGTAATTTCTTCACCGTCCCTTATGTCTTTTAAAGAAAAAAGACACAAGTGTGGGCTTCCCTTTACCTCAATTTTTTTCATACGGCAGTTTGGATGTCTGTGTTCATCATTCACCAGGAGGCCAAATGACCAATCCTCTCGGGATGCATCAATACTTAAAATGGACAAGAGAAATACCAAAATTAAAACAATTTTACTTAAAAAATAACGTCTTGTCCAGGTCCTGTGCAAAATATTTATTTTCATTTGGCTACATTTGAACATTTAATGTATTTCTTTTACCTTGCAGGGTCACATTATTAAATGGCAGACACTGATTGTCCAAGTTTATATCAAATTTAACAATTTTTACAAAGCATATAAAGGAATATGTGAGAGATGAGGTGCAATTATAAGTCTTACCATGTTTTCCCTCTCCACTTTAAGAGAAAGAAAAATGCAGCACATGAAGGATGATAAACGTTTCTCCTCCTCTCAGCTTCAAGTCCTGTCTAAATTGAAGACATAGTAAAACTCTGACTTTTGTTAATTAGTAAAATAAATAAGGACAAACTTAAGATAAAATCCCAACTCTTCTCAAGCACTGGTCCCTTCACGTAACATATAGCTTACTTGTCTTGTCTTCTATGATATATTATTGTACAGAATCATTAGGATCTCATTTCCACTAAATGCCCACAATGGACAGCACATGCTCTGTTAATCAAGAAGACCTTTAAAATCAGACAAATTAACTAATCAATAAGAGAATATTTTATGATCATTATTGTCATTTGAAAACTTTCTTGTTGCTAGATAAGAAAGATTTTGTTCAAAACTCGGTGAAAAACATACAGTTCTCCTGCATCCTCTGTCTAAGCTGCAGTTTCAGCGGTGCTGCTTCACATTGCTGTAATGAATACCATACACATCATATATTGACAGAAATCTTGGCTTCTCAGCTCTCTGTTGCATTGAAATTTTCCTAATTGAACAAACTTTCAAGGCGTTATGGTACTGAGAAGTTGTGCAGTGGCCTCGCCATATTGATAGAATTTTCAGACGATTTCCTTCATCACATTGCTGAGACTACCATACTAATCCATACATGTGCGCATGCTCACGAGTCTCAGCTTTACAATGCTGTTGGGATTTTTCAATAATACTCCAGAAATAGAAAACATAGCGTGGGCGCTGTGTCAGTAGATAAAAGATAAAATACAGACAAGTGTGCATTAATGATTGGCCACAGTGTCATGATTACTGATTGGGCTGTGGCTAATTCCTGGGCTCTGCTGCCATGTGTGACCAGGCCTCACCAGCCGAGGTGCACTTAAACTTGAAGAAGCCTACAGTCTTCTACATGTGTACTGACTTCAAAAATATTACTTTTATAATGTGAATAAATCCATCCTGGTACCTAAAATCCTCGACAACTGCTAACTGACTTTGGTACGGTAGCTAATTAGTGCTATCTATCACTTTCCTTGGCTAATAGCCTTCAAACAAAAAATACCATAGTTCCAATAAATCAACAAATATTAACCGCTACATTTCAATAAAATGTTTAATACTTACTTAAATCACAGCCGCCCGCCCACACTTCGTAACGTCTTTCTATCTTCAGGCCAGGTGTCGATGTTTACCACTCTCAATTGCCATCGACAGGAGCATGACTTGTCAAGCACAGGTTGAATGTAGAGGCTACTTCCTTTTTGATTTCACAATAAAACTCCACCACAGGAAGTCATGATTTCAGGCAACTTGAGGAGGAGAAATAATAACTGTACCTTGCTATACTTACTGTTATTTGTGCAGAATTTATTTTTCCTTATTTGTGCAGTAAAAAGTTAATGCATATCTAATTATTTTGAACATTCTATTTTTTTTTAAAGTAACATGCGATATAAATATTGCCATTTTTTTCACACCTTACCATAACAACTGAATTATGTTCATGTTTTTTTTTTTTTTTTTTTATCACATGGGAATTAATGTAGATATTCATAAATATAAATATGAAATAAAACAGACTGAAAAAAGAACCTGAAAGCATTTTTAGCAGATAATCATTAGCTGTATAGGAAAACATTTTTAAAGTAACCCTCCCAGACCTGTTCGCCTGTGGGCTCTTAGGAGTTTGCCACATGAGTTTAGTGGTGCTGAAATATGAACAACTGGACCAACGGAATTTTTTTTCACATACCCTAAAGCAGGGGCCAAGGTCTGAAAAGACACCAAGCATTAATACTCAGTAATGCTTTGAGCATGAAACTCAACCCCCAGATTTGATAGTTAGGGTGCTGCGTTGCCAGGTTTGACAGTAAGGGTGCAGCATTGCCAGGTTTGACAGTATGGTTGCAGCATTTCTAGGTCTGACAGTAAACTTGCTGCTTGGCAGGTTTAACAGCAAGGGTACTGCATTGCCATGTCTGACAGTAAGGGTGCTGGGCTGCTGGGTTTGACAGTAAGGGTGCTGCGTTGCCAGGTCTGACAGTAAACGTGCTGCTTGGCCAGGTTTGACAGTAAGGGTACTGCATTGCCATGTCTCACAGTTAGGGTGCTGGGTTGCCAGGTTTTACAGTATGGTTGCAGCATTTCCAGGTCTGATGGTATACGTGCTGCTTGGCAGGTTTGACAGGAAGGGTACTGCATTGCCAGACCTGACAGTAAGGTTGCTGGGCTGCCAGGTTTGACAGTAAAGGTCCTTAAACACTGGGGCTGACGCAAAATCTGGAGATATTATATACAGACTATACACATCAAGCCTGATGCAATTTTGCGACTTTCCGGGGGGAAAAATACGCACAACGGGGTAGACTTTTCCCTTGTGTGTGAAAGTCCCGCCTCCTTCGCCTTGGATATGCTAGAAAAGCTGGAAATGTCATCACATGCTCAAGCCAAATGATCAGCACTTATAGCTAATCAGAGGCAAAGGAGGGTGGTACCTTCTCTTAACAACCTACAGCGTCCCAGGTGGAAGTGAGAAGACAAAAATGGAGTCTACTTCAACTTCAAGTGATGGAGAATTGGTACTCCTTTTGCTTTCTCAAAAGAAAAAGATCCAATATTAAAAAAAAGAAGAGAACCTGGTGAGTTTCACTGCTTGGTTCAGGAGCTGACACTGTACCATGGTCGCTTCAGAACCTATTTTCGGATGTTCGTTGAACAACTTGAAGTTCTTCCAAGCTTGAAGAGGCAGAGGACTAATTTCAGGGAGCCGATTTACCCGGAGCAGCGACTAGCCGTGTGTCTGAGGTAAAATAACACTTGTTTGTAATGTACCTATTTAGTGAGAGGAAAGTCCAATCTGTTTGTCTAGAGTTCCAGCTGCCGTTACGGTAAAAACAGTAACAGAACATTTGATAAATTCATGACAAAACATATGCAAAGGTGAACAATTTCAGCACCGCGAAGAATGACGTATGAGCATGTCCACGGTGCTGAAATCTTTGAAAGAGATCTTATATCAAGCAGTCACAGTTATGAAAAATATTATATTATCCTTTTTTACATTTTTTTTGGCAGTTTTATTGAGCACTGGTGACAGTTACACTACAATTGCTGCAAGTTTTCATCTGGGTACCTCCACTGTTGCTCAAGTAGTGAGGGAAACCTGCAGTGTCATCTGGGATGAGATGAAAGAAATCTACATGCCATGTCCAAATAGGGAGCTGTGGATGAATGCTGCAAGGAGATTTGAGGAACGATGGAACTTTCCACATTGCATAGGTGCACTGGATGAAAAACACAGCACTGTTATGTTTACCTGAACTTTGTGGATAAATCTTTTAACACATCCAAGATGGTGAGCCAAACAAGAACCAATACAGTTCACGATACATGGTTGTGTCTCAGTGGGAATGCAGCAAATATACCTCTTCTCTATAAATATGTGTGTATGTATATATATATATATATATATATGTATATATACAAATACATGCATTAATAAATAAATAAAACCTCATCAAATGTTATAACACTATGAATGCTCTTAACATTCTTAATGGGGACTCGGAAGGGGTGGTCCTTACCATATTTGGAAGATGAGTGTGTGAGGATGACTGAATGCAGTACTGGATGGGGACCATTAGGGGGCGATACTGAGGTAAGTGTGTGAGTGTGTCCTGACGGAAAAACATCATTTTTGGGCCAAAGCTTAAAACTTCACAGGCACCTTTAGAATGGCTTTTGCAGTCATTTAAAAGCCTTTACCTAATGGGGACCTCAATTTTGGTCCCCATGGTGTCAGAGGTCCCCATGGCGTGACTGTGTAAACAGATTGATGTCCCCATAAAGATAGCAATACAAGCTAGAATAATGAGAATAATACTCTGTCATACTTATAAATTGGAATAATTGTTGCTTGTATGTTATGGAGGACTAAAAGTGCCAAAATTAAATAAATAAATACATCGATAAATAAATACTTATATGTACCATTAAATAATTAAAAGTGTCAATAAATAAATAAATGTATCATTAAAAGTGTCAATAAATAAATAAAAGCATTAATAAATAAATAAAAGTGTCAATAAATAAATAAAAGCATCAATAAATAATTAAAATACTATTTCATGAAAGACATATATTTATTTCATGGTCCGTGTTGCGTGCATCATGAAATAATTTTATCTGTCAAACTCACTCGTCAAAGTCAGTGGGCGGAGATCTAACTCCTGATTGGTTACCCTGCACATCCAGTCAAGGCATATCGATGCCAGATAATGGATCGAGGCAGAGCTTGTGAACACACTCCTATACACTGGGTGGCGCTATTCACCTCTACGTTGGATAAGCCCGCTCATACTTGATTAAACCAATTTCCTCACTTTCTGCAAACAAAAAGTATTACCCCCATAGTAAGCCAGCGATAGGCTCTGCTATGGATAAAACAAGCCCAGAACTGCTCAGAGAAGCTGCGAATTTAATTGAAGAAGCCCTCAGAAGAACGCCTTCGGCTCCGGCGGCTCCCGCAGCTCAGACGCCTCCGGCAGCGCCAACACAGCATCCACAGCGGACCCCAGCTCCTCCTCAATCTCGTACACCTGTCGAAGGTAAGCTAAGTAATTTCACCAGCCAGGTGTTCTACTAATCAATGGCTCGAGACACAGGTGTGTGGTCAACTGGATAACAGTTCAAGCGACAAACTGTCAGCCTACGCACAAACTTCAGAACTTTAATACCACACTGAAATATAAAGGATCCTAAAACATTCACAAACCTGAGATAAAACTGTTCAACATAACAAAGACAGTCCTGCCTTTCCTCCTCGGAGACGCTTCAGGACAGAGATCCTCCTGCAGAAACAGAGAGAGCCCTTCAGAAGAATTTCCAGAAATTTTATTGTCATATTGGCCCCGAGATGCTGGTGGGTTTCAGAATTTAGATGTTGCACCTGAAAAATGAACATAAAAAAACATTTAATGATTGGGAGAAAGAGATTTGTAGCTGAAGATTAGGTTTAGGGTTAGGGGAATGAATCCCGTCTCCCTCTATATTGACCCTGCTTGGGTCTGCAGGGAGCGGGGCGTGCACGGGCCTTCGCCCCACCGGACACGCTCCCCCGGTCCCACAGGAAACACTACTTGTGTTTAACAAATGCTGTTTTTAAATTGGTTTTAATGTGTTGAGTAATTCATTGTTTTTAAATAATTTCCTTTTTTTTTAGTTTTTTTTGTTTTTATACACAACACACAAACAAACAAACAATACATGAACAAACATGAACTATGTACATACTGTGTGCATCGCCGACGACGTTTCGACCCAGCTTGGGTCTTCTTCAGGTCCGTGCACACAAAAAAGAAAGGGCTGCTGGGCACCAATTCATAGGTGTTAACCCAGCAAGCAGCCAAATAAAAAAGAAATATCCCTGTTCCCTTCTCCCTTTTATACCCTTGGACAAATTATTAACTGAATTTCTCGGATATTTTGTGTTATTTTCTACTCTATTTAGTTTGTGACCAAAAGTCAATGAGGAAATCTTCCACTTCTTCCTTTTATTCTTCCGCCTTCTAGACCTTATAACTTCAGCATACTTTCAACTAAAGACCTCATTTTTGCTTTAAAATGTTCATTCACTTGTCGACTATTAAAGATGTACTCAGTTTTTTTATATCTTTTACAGTTTTTCCACAATTCAGCTTTAAGCAACTTGTGGTTTTCAGCAAATTTTCAGGCTTTATAATGGGTGTGTATTGGAGAGGCTAGAGTGATGATGTCATCAGCTAGAGTGCAGACCTCGTCTCTGATCGACAGAACCTCACTCGAATATATCGCTCTCACGCCCACAAATCTCACTCCACAGCCATAAAAAATACATCAAAATGGAGGTATATGTGTCCTGCTTCTCACAAAAGAGGTTTCAAATCATTAAATCCTACCCCTTGGCCAGCAGGTGACCAACTGTCCAAAAAAGGCGGAAATCTCTCCCATTGACTGTAATGTAATTTTTCTCCAAGAAAATCCGGATCATCGCTCAGGCTCAGACTTTTTTAACTCGCTGTTGTGGCCTCATTTTTCGAAGTACAGACATGAAAAACACATCATTGTGTTCATGAAGGACGGAGGATTCGTACGATGTTCTTATTTTCATTCTGGGACTTAAGGAAATCACGCTATGTGAAGAAGTTCACAGGCTTCAAATCCTCTGCAGTTCAGCTGCTTCTCATTCAAACAGTAGGTCAGTGATTTGCCTTT